ATTAATTCGTGATTCGTGAAACAAGTATATAGAGAAAATTAATAGTCAATTTTGGTGCAGAATTTTGCAAATCATTAGTTGATTTTTTCCAAAGCCCAACCTTTAGTCCATAGTAATAGATAACCTTCCTTTACATGTATTAGAAACAACAATATACTTGTAATACATGTACAAAATCTCAAGGATTTAATTTGTCAAAGTTTTTTAAAAACTTCCTTATAAACTATCTTTACTTCTATATGATTCCAAGCTGGATTCTTGCTTTGATTTTGTTATATTAATTCAAAATTCAAAATTTAATAAATGTTAAGATCATCTACTAAAGTCATTTTTATTAGGAAATTTTATCAATTTAAGCCAAAATTTTGAAAGTATTATATATAAATATTCAAATTATAAAAATTAATAGAAGCATTAAACAACATCCTTAATTATAATTTTTTATTTATTTATTTATTAAAAGAAACACTAAATGAAGATGATAATATCAAATACTCAAAAGATGACATTGAATTTCTATTTGAAAGAGAGATTCACTTTCACCTGAAATAATAGATGAGGAAAATGATGGTGCTAAAGGTTTGGAACATTATCTGGTTCCAAAAGTTGAATGGAGGAATACTGAGGTGACTATTAATATTATTTTTTGTAACTATTTTTCTTAATGATATTTATTGATATATTAGTATAAAAGGGTTAGAACATTAATTGATGAAAAATCAAAAAATTTACAATAGAAAAAGTTCATATTAAATGATTAGACAAAAAAACCCTTGAGTAATTATAAATGCAACACATTATCAATTTTATAAATGTGAAACACTCTCCCAAAATTAAAATATGGTATTCCTGGATGGCAAAAAATGAACTTGATAATTTAAACACACAATAATAATATTACTATTAATATATAGACTCTTTCTTTATTTGTTTATGATAAAGATGCATATTAAATATAATTTATATATTCATCTCACTTTGCGGAATGTTACACTGCTCCACTATTATCATCATTATTATTATAATCTAATTGAAAGAGGAATATGAGATTAATGTATAAATATTTCTAACAAGTTTGGACTTATTCCTTCACTCAAACAAATAATTGTTCACAACACAACACTATTTGGAATATAATTGTTTTTTATTTGTCAACTCTTAATAAACATTCTGGTCTTGGGGTAATTATAGAAAATCAATTGATGTGACAT